TTCTTGCGGTAATCGGAAGATCTATGCCCTAGTTCACCACACCTAAAGCATTTGAAGGTTCCACCTTGTGGTAGATTTTGGTTTCCGAAAACACCATTAGCACGAGGAGCTTGAGAGGAGGAAGCACCCTTATCCACAAACTTGGAAGGAGGAGTAGCTTTGGCAAAGCTAGGAGTGGAAGGACCCGGTCTAAAACCACCTCGAAACCCTCCTTGGAAGTATGGTACCATTTGTGAAGCACGGCGGTTTTGTTGCTTCTCCACGGCTAAGGCCCGATTATAAGCTTCGGAAACACTATATAATGTGTGCAAGGCAAGAACATCTTGAATGGAAGATTTCAAGCCGCTCACATAGCGAGCCACCCGTTGCTCCTCACTTTCACTTAAGCCAACCCGTGCAATAAGGTGATAAAGTGCTTCCATGTATTCATTCACACTACCATCTTGCTTGAGAACATGAAGGCATTGATAAACACTTTGGAGGTAGTTGAATGGTAGAAAATGACCCTTTAACTTCTTTTTCATTTTCTCCCAATCATGGGTTTTCTTCTTTTCACATTGGCGACGGTTGAGTTGAAGTTGTTCCCACCAAGCGGAAGCTCTCCCCTTCAACCGAATAGCCACAAGCTTAACTTTCTTTTCAACGGAGACCTATCCATAGTCAAAGATCCGCTCAATGGTGTTGAGCCAATCGATGAACTCTTCAGGATTGAGGCTTCCATGAAATTCGGAAAGTTCAATCTTGATATTGTTCTCTCATTTGTGTTCCATCCTATCCACATCCGTTCGACGCCGTCATAGGGCCCAAAAGATATTATCAAAAGAATGATGAGTACCGCTCTCGGTTTCATCGGAACCATCACTACCCTCGGTAGGAGGTAGGAGACGTTGCACCGTCTCGGTTAACGCGGTAATTTGCCGTCTCATCTCGGCCATCTCATCTCTTAGATGCAGAATTCCATTACCCTTATCATGATCACCCAAATCCAAGACATAAGCCCTACCACGACCACCCCCACAACCTCAACCCCAATTAGCCATAACAACCACCTAATATGTTCCCAAAATAGTCCAGATATACAGATTTCAGATAGCCCAATGCCATACCCAATTCACAGATTAGGATAACTCAGCATAACTATCAACTCACAGCAATATAAAGTCTTAAATATTCAAGAATCAACAACAAGATTATAATATCAAGAATTGATTCAAACAGTGCCAAGAAATGACAACCCACTCTGTATAAGGAATTTAAATAGCCCAAGAATTGAAAACAAAGATTGAAAATACCTGTGTAGAACCAGAGTCCAATCACAGATTAAGAATCGAAGTCCCAAACTCAAAAGCATCCCAGTCGCAAGTCACAGTGAGCCTTGAAGCCTTGAATCCAAGAAATTCGTGTTCAAACTCCAGGGCTCTTTGCGAACTACCATTTGAAGTCGCGAGTTGGTTCAGTGACTCAACGTTGAGTCGGCACACCTTCGATGGACAAATTCCAGTCGATCGCTACTGTCATAACTCCTCCAATTAGGGCTTCGACAGTTGAAGGCTCCAGATGGCTCCAATTAGGACCGCGATCAAGATTCAAACCCTAGAGTGAATCAGGACTTCAAATCTAGGCAGATTGCTACTTCGACTCAGGGTGAAACACAAGGTGATGAAGCCTCATACACAGCCAGGGAGAACTAGGTTAGATTCTTTGCTCTGATACCAAAATATAATGGGTCAATCAAGAACGAAAGAGAGAGGAACTTAGAGAGATATTAGAGAGAAATTCTCAATTCAGTTCAAATTCAATATATCCAAGTTAGTTACAAATGATGTGATACTCATCTATTTATAGGATACACTATCTAACACATGCTAAATGACGGATTCATCCCAATTTCTTCACCCAAATTCATAGCATAAGCCCTATCACATCTACCTCTACCTCTACGACCTTGACCTCGTAGAGCCATTGACACAAAGAACCACGCAGACTTGTATTCGAAGAATTATAACAGAAACAGAGATCTAATTCCAGTCCAAAGAAGAATTCTTATCACAACAACAGAGATCCGATTCCAGTCCAGAAACCCAGCCCACATACAAACTTAACTTTAATTGAATAGTCCAGAATGAAAAAACAGTGGATTTGTTGGTCGATGGATGATCGAGGGACCAAGTCAAGCATAGTTGATCTTGAGTCGCAAAATGGACCGATTGAAATTCAAATTGCAAAGTCGAATTCAAGAACAGTCTGAAAGTAGATCACTATCAACCAGGGGTCTTTGATTTGAATCTAAATTGCGAACATCGAGGTCAAATCTGGAAGGCTTCGTTCAGATTACTAGTCGAGATATAGGGCAAACTAGAACTACAAAATCGAATTGAAGAACAAATTCATAGTAACCCAAATTTCTACTAGGATCTTCAAAAGAAATCGCAAGTCTTGAACAAGAGAATCGAACCAAGAACAGGTCAAGAAGTACCCAGGTCACACCAGGGCTTCGAATCAAACGCCAAATTGCAACCTTCCAAGTCAAAATTGCAGGCAGAAACAAGAACCCTTCAACTGCAATCAACAGAATGAGATTGAAGAGTTGAATTCTCAAATAGCTACCTTAGCTACCTTGGTTGGAAAGGTGAAACACTTGCAACTTTGTCCCAAAGGTAGTAATAGTTGCAAGGATCTTCAACTTGATGACTTCTTTGGTGCTCCACATAGGCATAGAGCGTATTCATAAGGGTTAAATCCTGACTGGAATGACACCGTCAATGATTTAGTGTTTCCCGAATTTCGTGGAAGCTATAATTCGGATGTGTTCAAGGAATGGTTGAAGACAATTGAAAGTCATTTAGAATGTTATGATGTGCCGGAAGCAAGGAAAGTGAAATTGGTCTCTCAAAGCCTCAAAGGTTGTGCCTCCGATTGGTGGAAACAATTACAAGTTGGTGGGCAAAGAAATGACCAAGAAAAGGTTACAGAGTGGAGAAAGATGAGAAAGAAGCTCACAGAGCACTTCTTGCCTTTTAGTCACGTGTCACCTTTGTTGGTTGAGAAGCACCAAAAGAAGGGCATTTCAAATTTTAGACATCAATACCGAAGAGGCTTAGCAATCGAACAACCATCTTATGACTATGTCGAAGTTGGTTACTCAACTAGTGTGGGAATGAAAGTGACTTTTGATGATAGACGTTATCATAAGATGCTCTTTAGTGATGAGGTGATTCAACCAAGTTATGATGAAAAATATATGGAAGGAAGTAGTGATCATGGGCAAGATTATGATCCGGATGTTCCTATCTTTGATGTTGGAGCTTCCATCTTTAGCGGAGAAGATTATGATCAAACCAAGGTTTTAAAAAGCGGCCGTAACGGTTCTGCTGGTTACCGCCATCCGTTACGGCCGCTTTTACCGTGTGATTGAGATTCACAGGCATGTCGGCCGTAACGGTCGTAACGGTGCCGTAACAGCCGTAATGACGTGTTACGCACCGTTACGTAACGGTTCCAAACTCTTCTTTCAAAAAAACACACAAAAAAAAGACTGAAAATGGGGGAAGAGGGATAGAGAGAGAAAAGGGAAAATAAAGAGGAAAGATGGAAGAGCAAAAGATAGAGAGAAAGAAGAGAGAAGATGAAAAATATGTTATTGATTTGTTAAACTGTAAGACCTATGCTATTCTATTCAGCTGCTATCACTCAACCATTTTGTTTGTGTGTCTATCTATATATTGTTTGAAAATAATAATAATAATAATAAGTGTGGTCAAATTGTGCGAAAAATAAAAAAATTCACGGTTTCGGTTACCGCAACCGTTGCGCTATGCCCTTTACACCTCGCAATCGCAACTACGCCACCGCCACCATTACGGTGACCGCAACTGCTTTTCAGAACCTTGGATCAAACACAAGGTTGTGATGAAGATGTTCCTATCTTTGATGTGAAACAAGGATATGATGAAAATTTTTCCATCTTTGATGAACCAATGAGTGGGGCGTTCGATTACGATGAAATTAAAGTTCATGAATATGAAAAGAAAGTTGATGTTTGTGCATATGGAGGAGCTCCAATCTTTGATCACTATGATGATGAAGATGACCTTGTAGAGAGCGAAGGTGTACTCGAAGATGACAAAAGTTTTGTAGATGAAGCAAGTTTTGCTCTCACATTACTTCCCATGAGGGGAATGGGTTTTGTGGATGAAGCAAGTTTTGCTCTCACATTACTTCCCATGAAGGAAATGGTTGCAATCCCTCCTATTCCTTTTCTAGATTCCAAGAAAATTATGGTAGAGAGTCATGACATTGAAGTTTCATGGGTGTTGAATGATCTTCACCCCCGAGAAATGCCTCTTGTACTATCTTCAAAGACATTTGTTCCACTTTGTGTTGACTTGGTACCTGGTTTGGCTTCGTGGAGGAAGGATGCATTTATTTTGGGCCATGCAAGAAGCGTTATTTTGATGACATCTTGTTTCCAAAACGGCATGCTACATGGGTGGTCTATTCACACCTTAACATGGCTTCGGTTGATGTCTATGAGCGAGAACTCATTTTGATGGAAGGATGTTTGCTAGGATAACCTTGAATAAGGACTTGCAACTACTTAGTCTTGGCCGCCGTTGCATGTCCATCATATTCTCATAAGTTATTGTTTTGAGTCATTTTGTTGTCTTGAGTCATTTTGTTGTATCCCCAGCTTGAGGACAAGTTGTTTTCTTTAGAGGGGAAGTCTGATGTAGTTAAAACTAGTATGGTTATTATGTTTAGCACCATAAGAGTTAGTTAGAGTTAGTTGGTTGTTATGTTTAGCAGCATAAGAGTTAGATAAAGTTAGTTGGGTCTTTATCCTATAAATACAAGATTAGGCTTCTCTAGTATTGAGTTTTTATGATATTTTGATATTGAATATTTCAGAGCTTGAGAGCTTTTGCACCTATTTTGAAATTTTCCCTCCCAAATGAAATCTCTTTCTTGATTGGTTTCATCACATCTATCCTGTATGCTAGGTGCTAAAACTGTTATTTCAGCCATTGATGGAAGGCTCGGGTTGTTGGAAAGTCAAGATGCAGATGAATGTGAGTGCGCACTTGAAGCATTGGGTCAAATAGGGATGAGTAAGTATGCCTCTAAATGTTTCATTCTAAGGAAATCACAGCCTTAGGGTGAACCATCTTTCTATACCCATAATTTTCTTTACAATGAATTTTTGCAACTGTTTGATATAAGTCTTGATGGAGTTTAATCACTTTCCTATAGATGTTTCTTATATATTGGTTGCCCAAAAAATTGCATTCTTTCTTTACATTTTATTCATTAATCCCTTCCCTCGTGCCGATTTCCGGAAAGCATTTGTAAGATGAGTCTGTCATTAATCATTCTAAGTACTAGATTCCATGTCTGTGTTTCTTTTTTTTCCCCCTAGTACATAATTCCATGCCCATGTTGAGGCACCAGGTCTTGAAGGGCTCGTAGATCAGCACTCCATATTATGTGGTGAAAGATCTGTTTTGTTTCAGATATCAGGCTGGTTCACCTGAAGTTTTCTAATTTTTTTTTGGTTCAATTCTATTTTTCCTTACTCTTGTACTAATTTATACACTGTCTTCGGTAGTGATTTACGTTATTGTTTCCGACTACTTTTGTTATATTATGTCGCTTCTAGCAATCCAAGGAGCAACATTGCTACTCTCAAATTCACCCCCAGCTGCTCGACACGTTGTTGATGCTGCCTTTGACCGGCATGGGCATGGTAAACAGTTGGTGAGTTAATTTGCCACGTTCACATTCTCATTTCCTATTTTTATTTATTTTCCTGTCAACAATAAGAATTTGAGCTTGAAACCCTTACACAATTTGCTAGCCTGGATTTGGCACTCTTTTTACTAATATATGTATTTATTTTTATTGTTTTTTAAAATAAATAAAAAAATTTCTTGAGATATATAAATGCAGAAGCTAAGTTAAGATTCGGGAGGGACTCTTTCACACATTACATCCTTGAAATTTATATATATATGTAAAAAATTAATGTATTATTGATTGATTATAATGTTATATTTATTACAATGATTCATGATTCCTATATATAGAAGAGGGTGAGTGTGTAGTAGGTAAGGAGTAGGTGAAGTGGAGGTGGTAGTGGTGTAGTGGGTTAGGTTTAGTGGAGTAGGTTTAAGTGGGTGAAGTAGGTGATAGGTTTTAACAATATATTATTTTAGGTTTGATTTTATTTTTCATTTATGTTGATTTCGCCAACTGAGCTAAAAGTATGGAGAGATAACACAGGGTTGACTAGAAGTGGATGAAGTTTTGTGTTAACAATACATATTAAATGACAGAAAGTTTCCATAAGATCGTAGGCTAACTGTGGTTATTGGTACAAAAAGCTAGTAGTTTACCTTTGTGGGTTTGAAGTCCTGCTATCTGGAAAGCATTTAATTTTCTTTGTCTAACATAACCACCAATATGTAACCTATTTTACATGGCTCAAATCACATGAAGTGTGCCCTGCTACAGGCTCTTTTTGCTTTGGTGTACTGCCAATGCATATTTGTGCCGATGTAGGAAATAAAGAGAAAAAATGTCTGATGACGGTAGGAACATAAAAATGGAGATGATGTTTTGTTTGTTCACAGTTGGAACATCATAATGGTGAAGATGTTTGTCCTCAGCATTCTGACTTCCATGGGCTGACAATTTCTGTTACCATTTTTTAAATCTATCTTGAGGGTATTGTGTCCTAGAATATGCTGAAATCTCCATTCTTTTATACTGATTTGAAATGTTGTTGGATGGAAAACACAGGCTGCATTGCATGCTCTTGGAAATATCGCAGGAGAAACTCGATCAGAAAGCAACAGGATGTTGAATGTTGATGGGGAAGAAAATCTTCGAGTCTTGATTTATGAAACGGCATCTAAATCTTCAAAGCTTACACCATCTGTCAGTTGATTGCTGTTTATATTTATATTTGTTTATCCAGTCAGCAGACCTTTTGTCATACCCAAAATTTTAACCAGAAAGAGAAACTACAAAAAACAATTTATCAAATATGAAATGCCAAGCTTATTTTGTTTTTTAAATCTTGGTAATCTACATATACATGTTGTATGTAACTTGTAATTTTGAGTGATAATTGTTTTGTGCCTAATAAAATTGAACTTCAGGTTTATCTTTTCTTCTTTTCTTGCTTATCTGTCTACATTGTTCAAAAGATTGACCAAGTTGTTGCTGCATTTCCGCAGGGGCTTTTTCTCTCAGTTCTTCAACAGGACTCGGAAATTCGTCTTGCGGTGAGAATTTTATTTCACCACTTTGTGAGGGGAGAAATGATATTTGTCACCGGATTTATTTCATTTCCTACGGGTATTCATGCAACATATCCCATTTGTATGTGTAGAACCCCTTATATTTAAAAAAATGGTGGGATTTACCATGCCAAATGGAGAACCACATAAGAAGAGTTTTGGTGAAATATTCTGGTAAAGAACAAATCGAAGATGCAAACATAACGTTAGTGTAATTACCAATAAATTTCAGTTAAAAACAAAGGGGTTATAGCTAAGCACTTTGACTAAATCCTATTCTGCTGACCTTCTCCACAGATCAACTCTCATAGGTGTACAATTTTCTGGATTTAATGAACTCTTTGGGGAGCTTTTCTTTTTAATGGTTCGCCTATGGTCACTCTGAGAGTTTAAATTCAACAATAAATTTGTCAAGAATATGCAATTTTTTTGTGGAAAAAACAGAAGAAAACAAAAGATGACTTGCAGTCCTTTTTGTAGCCAACTTCTTGGAAAATACCCTTTTAGAAGATTTTTTTAATATATTTTTATGTTCCAACAGTTCTATGGCCCTGTTTGGTAGAGCTGTGGGAAAGTGCTTATAGCTTATGCCTCAACAGCTTATAGCTTATAACTTTCAGCTTAAGCTGATTTACAGCTTATTCTTAAAGCATCTCCTGCCCCACTCAAAGAATAAGCTGATTTCTGACTTTCAAAAAGTTATAAGCTATAAGCTAAACTAAACACATCAAAATAGCTTAAATTAAGCTGAAAGCTGAAATAAGCTGTAATTAAGCTCTACCAAACAGGCACTATGTTCACCCTATAACTTATAGGTTAAGGTGAAGATATCTGTGACTATGACATACCACTACAAGTTCATCCAAGTCAAATCTAGTTTTTTTCTTGTGACAACAGCTAGTTGCCTTTCTATTACAGAGATCTGATGTGGCAATTTTATGCATATATCACAGGGTTATAGATTGATAGCAGGGTTGACGGCTCGGCCATGGTGCCTGATGGAGATATGTTCGAGACAAGAGATAATAAATATAGTGACTGATGCATTTACTGAAACCACTAAGATAGGTTTGTTTTCCTGACACCATTTTCTTATTATCATCACAATAAAATCATTTGATTTACGTAACTTAACAAAATAAATAAATAAAATAATTTGTTTTATATATTCTATTCGCTTATGTAAAGTAAGGCCCTTGACGCGTTGTCTATTTGCCTTAGTTAACTAACACATTCAGGATAGTGTCCGTCGTGTATGCTATTCGCAAATGATATTGCCCTAGTGAATGAAACAAAAAAGGGAATTAACTAAAATTAGAAATTTAGAGACACTTTTGAGTCAAAGAATGAATAAATTTGTTATCTAGATTCAATTATTATTAATAAGAATGAAAAGATTGGATATGATGTGATGTGACGCATAAAATAAAAGTATGTTGGCCCAAGTGGAGGAGCACTTTTGGCATATTATGTGAACAAAATTAAATGAAAAAATTTATAAAACAGTTGTAAGACTAGTAATGTTTTACATAATAGAATATAAGGTGTAACTATACAGGTTAATAAAATGCTAAGAAGCATGGACCCTTGTAAGCGTGTCCGTTTCAGACACATCTTTAGGCTTTTTTATCATGTGAAGAGCTGAAAACTTCCAATCTCCTGCATTTGGCAAACTAGTAGATGTTGGTGTGTTAAACAGAGTGTGCCCCAACATATAAAGAAACATATTCAGCCTATGACTTGTTAAACAAACTGAAATATTTATACTTGCAAAAAAATATATCCAGCGTTTGACTTGTAAAAAGAAACTGAAATATTGGTACTAGTAGTTAATTCGTCCCCACTAATGCTCGCCATGAATGGTTACCCGCATTGGTTCTCTCTCTCTCTCTCTCTCTAAATGATGTTTAGTCTGGTTTCTTGATTTTATTTTATTTTATTTATAAATTTCAATTGCATCTTGTTCTTGATTTCTAGTGTCTCATATTCTTTTAAGTTGCAACAATGATTAGGATAATATGATCATCACCTTCCCTTTTCTCTCTCTTTTAACATCGTCTTTGTTTCTCAGTATTTTTTCATAGTCAAATTTGTGATAATTTTTCAGGCATGGAAGCTAGGCATAATTGTTGCCAGGCAATCCGCAAGGCCCTCATGTCATCACCTAAACTAGCAAGTGACCCTAATCTTGCTGGAATTGCTGCTAAGGTGTGACACAAGACACGTTTAGATTTGTTTATTATTATTAAAAAAAATTTTAAAAAAAAAACTTGGAAATGATTATTGACCTTAAAATTTCCTTCTTTCTGTTCTATGCAGTTGGAAGAAGCCGTTAGAAGGGGTCCTTACCTCGCAAGAAAGCATTCTGAGGCACAACCTGCAGTAATGACAGCTGAGAGATTTTGATTTGGTCTTGGACTTATCAAGAGGCTTTCTTTTTCTCGAGCTTCTGCTGTTTATTATGTAAATTCCTTCTGATCAAAGTTTATCTGGTTGCCAAGTTGATGTATCTATGAAAAGTCATTTCACTCCAAGCTTGATATGAAACAAAAGCTTAAGCCTTAACAAATATTTGAGAGACAATTCATGAATGCTTACTTGGTGGTTGCATATAGCTTCTAAATCTACTAGAATATGTGAAAAATTATCAACTAGCTTGTGTTAAGTTGATCTATAAGGATGCTTTATGACCAGATTTTTTATTGCAAAATTTTGATTTCTTCTGATTTTTACCCCTTCATTTACATTCAATTTTTATGGTTATAACTTATATACAATGGAAATTTTCCTTGTTTTCTTTTTACTGAGAAATTTTAGTAAGATCTTTTATTTTTCAAATCTTTCTACAGATTACTGAAGAATTACTCATCCAATTCCCAACTGACGAAATCTGCATTTCCCAAAAATAACAAAGATATAAGATCTGAATCCTATAGAAGCATAATGTGTAGAAATTACATATTCTGGTTACTAGATGAATCCTAATTTCATTGCCTCTTCCATAATTCAACAATGTTTTGTATCAGTCACTTTCAAAGATGGGCTTGGCTGAAGAAATTCATTCTCTCCATCCCTTTCAAATTGTTGCAATAACTTGCTTAATTTGGCAACCCAAATGCACGCTACCTCGTGTTCCGATTCTTCCTCCTCATCTTATGTGAATTGTCCCTGTTCATTGCTCTTGTATCCCTCAGTACACTTTCTCTCTCCTTCAACTTAATGTTCATTGCATTGACCAGCAACTTGGTTCTTGGCTCCGGTACCATTCCCTTTGATGTCATCTCATTGAAATAACACAATGCATCCTCTATAATTCCCTTGTCATGAAGGCCATGAATCATAATTGTGTAAGATCGTTGGTCCGGTCCCAGTCCGTTCCTCTCCATTTCAACCCAAGTAGACCTCACTCTGTCTTGATCATCCCAATCCATAAACAACCTCAAGAGCAAATTGTAGGTGTCACTTGTCATCCAGCATCCAATCCTCTTCATCCTCTCTATGATCTCAGGAATTTCCTCAGGCATCTTCGTGGACTTCAACAAGTAACCGTAAGTCCTGGCATTAGGCAAACAATCACCGCCCTTCTGTTCCATCTCATCCAAGAGCTCGTAAACCTTTTCCATACGCCTAATCTTGCAGAGATGCTTGATTAGCGAATTGTAAGTGGCAACATCAGGAAGGCAATCTCTGTCGTTCATTTCCTTGAAAATTGCTAGTGCTTCAGGGATCCTCTTCTTGAAACATAACCCATCAATGATGCAGTTGCAAATCGCCACATCCGGGTCACAACCCTTTCCCCACATGGCTTGAAACAACTTTACAGCGGTGCTCAATTTTCCTGCCTTTGTAAGCGAATTTATGAAAATCCCATATGTAAAACGATCAGGCATGCATTTTTTGGATGTAATTATGTCATTCCAAAACCGCTTTGCTTCCCGCAACTTACCCGAAACACACCATCCATTAAGAATGATGTTCATCGTCTTTATCACAGGGCGAAACTCGTTCTGCTTTGAGTGGAACAAAAATTCAGCAGTTTCAACGTGTTTATACCGGCATAGACACATCAATAGTGTCTGAAAGGCAATCAAATCGAGCTCGAGACCAAGCTCTTTCCTCTTATAGAAGAACTGCGTTGCTTCTTCCACTTTGTGAGCCGCAGCATATCTATTTAGCACAGTCCCATATGTCCTCTCATTGGCAAGACCTTTTCTCTCTCTCATTTCGTCAAGCACTTGGGTCAATTCTTCAAATCGCTTCATTTTGCCCAAAATGTCGAGAATTTCATTGTAGGCAGCAAACCCAGGAAAATACCCACTTCCATTTCCTCCTCTAGAAACCCAATTGAAGAATGTATAAGCGGGTTTCCAATTAGAACGATGACGCCGAAGCACATTCAGAACAAAATTCTCACTCAGTGACAATCGGCATTGATCAAGTGCTCTCACAATCTCATCCTCGGGTTTGTTCTCTTGAACCTTGAGGAGGTTCTGAACTTTGAGGGCATCATTGTCCGTAGTAGAGCATTCATTTGAATCTGGTACCAATTTGTCATATTTGTGATCATCTATGGTTGAAATATCAACAATAAGATCCTTTTCACGCTGATAATCCCGAACCGGGACTAGAAAATAAAGTATTCTCTGTGAAATGGGATGGTAACGTTGATCTATTCTCGGTTGGGTTGTGAACTGAAACAAGAATTTTCGTTGCATTTCCAAGGAAAGAAGCCTCAATGGTTGAATGCGCATTTCCTTCACCAAACAAAAAATTTGTTAAAAATTTCTAAACAAACACGCAAATAGTTTATATAGAACTTCGCATCCCTACGTCCCACTGCCACAGAAACACCATTTTCAGAGCTCATGTTGTAAAAGGAAGGTTTTTGAATGAGGGAATACATGTTTTCTAAGAATGCCATTTGTGTCTATGAATCGCAAAAACCCAGGAAAAAAATTGATGCAATTTTGAAATTCAAACCCCCCCAATACCTACAACACCAAATTCAAATGGTCTTCTAGGAATTTGATCAAACAGTTGATGTGCAATTTTTTGAAACAGTATTTCCAATCTCAACCCTCCCTCCCAACCCACAAAACCGAGAGAGAGAGAGAGAGAGAGAACCAAACCCAATTTTGAGAGAGCTGTGAGTGAATTTGTGCTCCAATGGTGGTGGGTATGATTGTACTATCCCGAAATTTCCTCAACAAATTCGATGCAACCAAGTCCACATAGGGATATACTACTCCGCTGTTGGTTAGCTGCTTCGGGAACAGCCATGGTTGGTTCCAAATAGAGGGACGATTGCTAGGGTTTTTTATTAACCAATTAACCAATTTGATCTTCAATTCTTAAACCCTAAACTCTAATTTTATCAGTTTGTTTTTTAACTCAAGTTTATTCCAAAAATAACCCCCAACCCCTAGAGATTTTATTAAATTTGAATAAAAATATAAATATTTGAAGTTTGGTGAAGAATTTAAAATTCTTTCTTAATTTGACAACTTTTTTATTTTTTTCTTGGTACATGTTTGATAAAATGACTTAGAGTTTACTTTTAGTTATTTTTTTATCTAATTGAATTATTTTTATTAATAAGTGTTTTAAGAAATGAAAATGTTATAAGGCTGTGTTTATGTTTAGATTTTAAAAAAAAAGAAAAACAAATAGCATATGAAATATGAATAAAATAGTTTCATTTTATTCATATTTCACTCTTTTTTTTTTCTTTTAAAATATCTACTTAAATTTATAATTGAAATACAACCTAAATGGTGTTTTGGAAAGTTGGTAAAAAATTAATTTTTTGATTTTTTTTTTTTTTTTGGTGTGGCTCTTTAGCTTTTTTGTGTTAAAAAAGTTAGGCCAAGTTTGGCAAGTTGAAAAAAAAGTTAAAAAGTTACTCAAAAAGTTAAAAAGTATCACTATTTACCAAAAGTTAAAAATTACGGCTGTACAACTCTCAATTCTAATTTTTTCCATACACACTAATTTATATAATTTTTTAATATACATTTTTCTATAAAAAGTCAAAAGTTAACCCAAACAATCATATTTTTTCCTCAACTTTCTAATCTAAAAAGTCAAAAAGTGTACTTATTTAGGATATTTCAAACAATTGCTTAGTTTTTTTGTGTAAGAAACTAAAAAAATCAAAAAATTAACTTTTTACTGTCTTCCCAAGACGCCCTTAAGTGTTTCCATATGAGAAGTAAATTTTATTTATTTATTTTTGTAAAGAGAGGTCCAAGAGGGTACAATCCAGGTAGATGCGTTGTTTGAATTGAATATAATGAATTGAATGGCTTGTCTAGAATAGAGACTATATATTATATATATATATATATTTTGAAAGTTTGTGGCATATTGTTTTGTTTAATTTTTACTTAGATTATTAGACAGGTATAATTTAAATAAGTTAAAAAAAAATGATTATCTGTCAACTAAGAAATGAGTACTTAGTTATCGATTTTTCACTTATAATAAGTTATACCAAATAGACCTTATATAATTATTTTTTTAGTTTATTTAAGTTATTTTTACTTAATAAGTTAGATATAAACTGAAATTACATCAAACGATCTAGCACAATTCATAAATTAAAATAAACTATGAATAATTTATTTCAATCGCACCAATTAATCCCAATATTACATACTCCCCTATCTATATATTATAAAAGGAAAAGAGGATTTTTAACCCATAAATCTTGTGGGAGCTCCAATATCTCAATTTTAATTTTTAAATTTTTTGATTTAAAAAAAAAATAACTCAGCATTTATTGACTTCTCTTAATCCACAAGCCTTTTTGACTTCTCTCATACACTATGATTAGTGATGAGATTGTCAAATTATTTTTATAAAAAATCAAAAAAAAAATTGTATATTAAAAAATATCTAAAACAAATATAAATTCTTATTAAAAAAAATAAGTTGCAATTGTGGGAAAAAAATAAGAGAGAAACACAACTACACTGTAAAAAATAATTTGTATATTAAAAAATATCTAAAACAAATATAATTTTTTATTAAAAAATAACAAGTTGTAATTGCAAAAAGAGAGACAGAGACAGAGGGAGAGAAAAAAAATCTAAAACAAATATAAATTTTTATTAAAAAATAACAAGTTGTAATTGCAAAAAGAGAGACAGAGACAGAGGGAGAGAAAAAAAAATTACACTGTGCATTTCATTAAAATCTAAAAGTAATAATTTTTATATTAAAAAAATATATAAAGCAAATATAAATTCTTATTAAAAAATAACTGGTTGCAATTGTGAAAAAAAAGAAAAAAAAAATTACATTGTAAAAAATAATTTGTATATTAAAAAAATATCTAAAACAAATATAAATTTTTATTAAAAAATAACATGTTGCAATTGCAAAAAAGAAAAAGAAAAAGAAAAAGAAAAAGAAAAAAAAATTACACTGTAAAAAATAATTTGCATATTAAAAAAATATCTAAAATGAATATAAATTCTTATTAAAGAATAACATGTTGCAATTGCGGAAAAAAAAATAAAAAAGAAATACACTGTATATTTCATTAATAATACTCAAAAAAATGTGTCAAGTATTACGTATTTGTGTAAAGACTTAACACATGTTCACTCTCACATTATCAAATGAATATAGATCAAACCGAAGAACTCAGTTTTAATGGCTGACAAATATTAGAAATCCAACCATTGAAACCTAATAACTATTAATTAATAGATTTCAGAAATTAAAAAGTCGCAAACCACATCTCTGCCTTCTTAAATATTTATTTATTTTGGTTCATGCATGCATTCTAATATTGATAGAGAATTGGACGTGTGGAAGAGTGAGAGACATTTAAATTATATATTGAGTTATGTAATTGTTGTGATGAAAAATAAAAGTTGTCTTCCTCTTCTATGACGATTTATCTAGTTGTATCTCCAATTAAAACGTCAGGTGTGCTTTTACATCATCATTGAACGTTGCTTTCATTTTTTTTAAATACTTTGTCTCACAATTATTTGTATTTTGTATTATGAAATTTTTTACATCTGTACTTGCTAAAACTATTAGATGGACCTAATACAAGAAGTGCAAATTATTTCAATATCACTTATGAATAGATAAGATTTTATAAAAATAGACAAGATTTTATAAAAAAAAATTGTGAATCTCACTTCTTAAAAATCCTATAATTCATTTATTTTTTGTATTATATTTTATGTTTAGTTTCTATACTTTTTTTTATATTGTTTTCTTTGTTTTCTTTAAAAGTTTTTTTTAAATAAATAAACAAATCATTTTCTATTTGAAAACAATTTTATTTTGATTTTGATTTTTGATTTTTGATTTTTTCTTAAAGTAGCTTTAGTTTTGAGCAATTACTTACGCTCTTTTTTTCTATATATTGTAATTTTGTACATTTTAAGTATATGATATTTTCACTAATACACTTGGAGATGCATTATGAAAAAAGTATCACGTAAAAATCAAGCAAGAATAAGAAAAATTAATAAAACGATACGATGAATGTGGAGCAAAGATCACAAATTAAAACTCTCAAAGCAAGTAAGTAGACAATCAAATAAATAGAATAGAATGTTTAACAATAGACATTTGAAAATTTGCGACAAAATTTTATATTTTTTTTTTTGGCTAAGAAAAATCCTATTTAATACTAGCTAAATAAAATGCTTTTAAAATATTTTTTTTTTGAAAAAAATTGAAATTAAAACTATAGTAAATTTATGTAAGCATAATTGCTAACTTTATTTTTTTACTTAATGTATAATATTTATATTGATTATCTTTTTCAGGTTTATTTTTTAAAATATTTATATAGAAATAAAAAATATCGTTAGGAATAATTTTTTCCTTAATTTAATTATAAATTTTATCCGTATATTATTTTTAAATTTTGAATAAAAGCAAACATAAAATAATTGATTGAAAAGATGTTGCATTTGTTATATTCTTTTTTCTAATGTACGTATATATATATATATAAAAGTCAATAAACATTAAGCATAATGTACACACACACACATATTGTATGTTAACGTGTGACTAAATTGGCAGTCGTGGAATGACCGGTCTTGATCTTGCCACGTCATAGAACAACGCGTGTGTTTGTTTGATGTGATGAGATTGAGCGCATTTTCTTTGGGAATAAGGGGACACGTTTGGTGACGAGGATAACAGGTAGGTACTACTCCGTGACGAGGATAACAGGTAGGTACTACTCCGTGCTGTACAGACACGCAAACCATGGACTTCGTAAAACGGGATCCGACTCACGCGGCGATGAGACCCGAACCAACGCCGTCACCCAAAAATTCCCCTTTTTAGGAGGCAAAATCAATTTGTGTGTCAGAGTCAGTCTGTGGGCCCAGCACCGTTTTCAGCCCACCTTAACCGCCGTTAGGACAAACAAACGAACACAATGCCATCTCTCTCTCTGTGTATTAACGTGTGAGACGGTCGCCGCCATCACCGCGTGTCCTCTTGACACCCAACGCGGTGCCACGTGACCCACCACCTCCGCCTTTTCGCTACGCTCTCCTGTCCTCCGGCTAGGGGCGGCCGCATATTATCACAGTCAAATTTCTCGTTGACTAAATGATTATGTCATTACGCCCACTCGCAGTTCTGACGCGTGATGACACGCTTCTTCCCCTCACTGTCTTCCCACTCATACAGAAAGACATAGGCCTGGTTTGGAAACATGTTATTTTAGTAACTTTTTGACTTTTTACGAAAAGATGTACAGAAAAGTAGAGAGATGATGTGATAAGTTTTAGTTAACTTTTTGATTTTTTAGCTAAAATAATCACTCCCCAAACGAGGCCTTATTTGGGGACTAAAGTATGTTGTGATTAGCGGCCTGGGCGGTGCTGTTTGAGAATAAAACTATAAATCGAATAACTGATTGACAAATTAATAGATTGAAAAATTATATAATTTATTTGATTTTTTATAGATTGACAGATTGAAAAATATTTTAATTAAGAATAAAGATTGAGATCCTCTTTTTCCACCCTTTTTGACCCCCTTTCTTTTTTAATTGATCACTTTTTCTTTTTTTTTCTTCTCCTCCAATCACTACTCGCCACGTGTGTGTGGGGTGATGAGGGTTAAAGTTTGAGGGGGTCTAAATCACTGTTGTTTTATGTGATATGTTTTATATATATAACTATTAATTTGTAGTAAATTTCATATCTTAAATATATTACACACTCATTTTTACATTGATATTTCATTAGAGATTAAAAAATATATATCTATTAACTATAGTGGAACAGAATGGTTTGGTTGACAGATTATAAATTTTAAAGTTTAAACCGTAATTAGCGATTAAAACGGTGAGGATTGATGCGAATTGGTGTAATTTTAACGGATTGAACGGTA